CGTTTTCCCTTTTTTTTTTTTCAGAGGAAGAAAGATACTTTCAGCACGCTCAAAAGTTAGCTCGAGGAGAGCGCGGTTGCTTCCGCGTCAAAGTGAAACGATTGTCACCGTCATGTTGACTTCTGAGTTGTTCTATCAGAGAAAACACTGAGTGTTTACGTTTGCAATTAGCTGAAATCTGTTTCGATAAAATAATATGTATACGTTCTATTTACAAATTATTTTATACTAAGAGAAATATTTTAAATAAGATATTCGAATAAATTCTGTTTAAATGATTTTCATTAACATTGAAAAATTATGCGTTAGATTTGGACGTTGTAATTCTTAAATTTTAATAATTCACAATTCTGAATCGCTTCTTGAATATTTTTAATATTATTATGAAAGGATCCTTTTCGGCATAAGGGTTGTCACTTCACGAATTTCTTTTTTTCCTCTGGTTTGCTGCTGAGGTGAAGATTTGAAAGCGGGAAGCGTTATCGAGCTTCTAAAACGGGGTTTTCCGACGAAGGAAGAGCGCGTCATTTGCTCACATAGCAAGTGATATCTCTCAACCCCGAAATTGGGGTACGCCCCTTAAATTCAACGACTGCCGCGCGACGTTAGCCATGAGATACGATTTCTGGCGTAATATCGGGGCGGAAGGAACAGGAGTGGGAAGTTTCGAAGAGAGAAAAGAAGTGGATTTTCAATTTCGGAGGATAGACCGGCTCGCGTACTCGATCGAATGATTCCCATTTGTTATCCTTTTATTGTAACTCTTTTTATAGCAACGTCAATATTACATTGATTCTCAGATCTCGAATCTAGGAGATGTCAACTTTTAATTCTAGCAGATAGTACACCAAATCAAATAAAGATAATTTTGTTTGATTATCGGAGAGAGAAACTTTTATATAATTCTCAAATGTCGAGATTGAATTGGTGTTATTACTCTGTTTACATTCGGAAAATTGTTTTAATGTTCAAATCGAAATCACTTTTAAGGTCTAAAAGCGAAGTTTACAACAATAATAACCTGATCCGTTTACATTTAATAGGGGGAACTGTATTAAGTGCTATTATAGTACTACGCTCCCTTCGACCTATACCCCTGCCACCCCTTCTCTTCCTCTTCGCACTCAACTTTGGGATTCCAGGGAGCACGTGGCCCAGATCTTTTATGCCAGGATTTCCAAGGGAACTCGCGCGCCATTTGCTCGCGGCTGACATCTTTAACTTGCGAAATGGGATCTTCTACCTCTCTCTCCTCTTCTCCCCTTTGACCCAACGACTATTGGAACGGATAATTGCAAGCTACGACTGTTCCTAACGTAGATACGCAGGGCGGGGAGGGAGCGGAGGAGGACGTCGTGTGCAAAACGAACAAGTGGAAGAGATTTACGGCTTGTGAGAACAACGAACAACAAAGTTGTCTCGCGAAAGAAACATCTTGAGTTAGTAGAGGATGTCTTCGAATCTCAAATCCGTTCCGTTTGTTTTCTTGCTTACATCTTGTCTTGCAAAGTTATTTAGCCTATCTTTCCAACAAGATTCTTTGTTTTACATTTTACTCATATATCTTAGTAAAGATATTTTTTAACATTGTTACTTTCAAATAATGTAAATTATGTATGCACATTACGTCAATTTAATACATATTTTTATATTTTCTTCTTTAAAATATTTCTTATCGTATATTTGATTTATATATTATTACTATAAAAAATAAAAATTTTTTAAAATGTTATCAGATAAATTAATGAAAATATTGCTTAGAAATAATTATATAAAGCTTTTACAATTCTCATAATATTATATAATATTATCGGAAACATTTTACAAATTTTTATAAATTTTTTTCTCTTCGAGGATTCTTGTTATATATATATTTTCTTGTTATATACAATTTTATACACTATACATACTCTATCTTTATTATATCATAACTTCTCTTGCGTTTAATGAATATCTCTAATAAGTATTCTCGTGATAATTAATGCATGTTTATATTCTCCATGGATCATATCCTCGCTTAATGATCCTTCCAGGTGTCGATATTGTTCTCGGAAAAATCTTTTTTCCGGAAGAATCTTTTTTCCATTTCCGTTGTCGATCTTAAAGATGCAGCGGAATATGTGGATCTTTTAAATCAGGATTTCTGAGATCGAGCGCGTAGCTTACTCGCATCGCAAATGGCGGACTTGAATCTCACAATAGCACCCCGGCTTCTTTGAACCAGACGATCAAGGATCAAGTTACTATTTTCCGCGAAACTCCTGCATAAGAATGTATCGAAATAGAAGATAAAAGAGAGAATATCTATCATGCTTTAGCGTAAAAGCCTTTGTGAATTGTTTAATGAAAATTGCGTAACAATGTAAATGTGCAACAATTAAAATACCTGAAATGATTAAAAACTAAATTAAACTTATCGGAAGCTAAATTACAAAACTACTTTAGTTCAGACAAATAAAAAAACTTGAAATTATTAAAAAAATTAAGATAAAATAAAAATTAGTTATGCAATTATGAACCGTGATACTCAACATCGTGGAAGATGGAATGAAGTTGGAACTGTCAAGAAATATAAGATATCAGAACTCTCCGAATTAATTACAAACTTTGTGTACGAAGAAAACATAGAAACAGAAGGAAAGAACTGAAAGAACATTTATGAAAGATGCATTTATTATCGTCCTTAAGTAGGCTCTTTTAAAGTTCAAGGAAAAACGCGATAAGACTTTTTAATGATACAACAGGGATTTCATTTAGCTCGTATTTAAAATTTTGAGCAAACACTTTATAATATTTGACATTGTTCTTTTTTCATGGATCTTGCGATCAAAATGAATTTTTGTCTTGTGAAAATTTAATCGCTTTCTTTCATCGTCATTTAATTACTGGTATACATTCACAATCAGATAAACAGACGTAAACTTAAATTTTTTCAAAGCAAAGTTTATTTGAAATTTAAAGATATAAAATAGCGTTAGTGACAGTTTCGAAACTCATCTTTGATATTATAATTAGTTGCTTTAACACTCTGTACTTCCGAAAAGGAATTACACCGCGATTGATCGAGAGAAGGACAACGAGAGTGCATAACTTAGTTGAAGGACGTCTCCGGAATCGATCGACGGCGTATCGCGTGATTCCTATCTCGTTCCTTACAGAGCAATGCTCATTTCCTCCGATCGACCTTCCATCATTTGGCTCCAGGAATCTTTCGATCTATCGGATCTGGGTCGCCACGTCGTATTCTATCTCCTCGCTTTCCCCTCAAGTCGAGGCGAGAATGGCGCCCGATTGTCTCAGCCAATTTGGAAACAAACGTAGGTGCGCCGACGATTATACGCGGCGAAGTTAACGGATGTTGGAGTTTCTTCTCTTCGAGGAGATGGGGACGCGACGTGGAGCTCGGCGATTATCGAGGAACGTGAATGGGTAACACGTGAGCGGCTTGCAAATCCGCACGTCGCCGATTGCGAGACTTCTGTGATTCCGCCGACGATTTTTTGCTTCACGCCGAGACGTGTCTGGAGTGGCGAAGTACGCTCTTAATCTGGGTCTCCGATACGTTAATGGTGGCAGACAGGGATCGATAATGATCGAGAACATGATGGATGCGAATTCCCACGGTATCTGGTGCAATATTTCTGAAGTAATGTTTCATAACGCAACTTAGGCAAATTGCTATCGCAAATGTATTAATGTGTATTTTATACAAACGTATTTTTGCAATTTCTGCCTTTTCTGCACTTTTTGCTATAATGAAAATATAATTGGATAACTGGCATTGCTCGAAAGATAGGATCTTTGTGTCTATAGTATATATAATAAGTGTCGTCTTGTTAAAATATTATTTTCGCTTATATGATTTTTCAATTATGTATAAAGTTTATAAAAATACCTATGTTATTCGTCTCTATATGTCTGAATATAATCAAATATCATGTGAATTCAGCGTTAAAGATTAAAAAAAATATTCCTCCGTTATTATAAATGAGATAAATTGATTGATGGAGTTAAAAAAAAAAATAATAAAATCTGCCATCGCTTGAAAAGATCAGCGTCAGTGCAAAAATTATCTTGATTACGAAATCACAAATTCGACTGATAATAACCGAGCGGTTCTCATTCTTATTCCTATCCATTCGCGTCAATGTGACATTTTTTTGGGATGGATCGGTTAACGAGCTTGCGTACGGCCGGTTTCCCAATCAGGCGCGATTGTTCCGCAACGTGTAAGTGGCTCGCTTGTGTAAAAGCGACCCCAAGTTTGGCGCGGTTGGACACGTGTATGTTTCGCGGGCAACCGCGACAAGCGGACGGTGGGACACTGTCGCTTGTATTTGGTATATCGTCCGACTACCCTCGATGGTCGCCTTTCTTCCCGGGGGTGAATCGCGTATACCCGCAGTACGGCCGCAGATGATTGGCGCGCGCCAAGCAAAATCGACTCCCCCCCGCGGACTTAGGGGTGCGAAAAGGCTTATGCCACCCGGGGCGATCGGAAATATGGCCAAGGTAGAGTTTTAATTGCGGTATTATTAAAAGTTATATTATACGAGTTATATTATACGAGATGAAAAATACTTTGCATCGTTACTTTGCATTGTATATATTTATATATTGAATCATGTATACGAATGTTTTTTTTCTTAAAGAAAAGCTGATTCTATTTATTATTAAACCATTCCATTTTATTTTTTTCCATAAAACAAAATCCGATGTACTTTTCTTCTTTTTTCTTGAAGATTGTAAATATGATTTACAACGGTTCGTCCGGTTCAATTTCTTACCGTAAATTTTATGAAAGGTCTGATTAAAGGACGCAGCCGAGCGCGCAATTTTCGACAGAAGACGTTTTTTTGTGTCATATGGGATAGCTCTTTTCCAGAAGCGCCGATTTTTATGACGACCTAGGTATAAAGGGCACAGCCCTTTGTAGCCTCGTTTCTCTATCGATATTTTTCGACGACAAAAAAAGCGGAGAATGAGATTTTGACTTTGGCTCGTCCTTTGTGTTTTAGAACGACACGATGCAAGTGGTTTGGCAATATCATGTCGAGGAGCCGGTATCGGCGGCTGGTATCTTGCCCGATCATGGGGCAGTACGAGGATCGAGACCGTTATACCTGGTGCAAAGAGACGCGCAGCCCAGACGAAACTCACGTAATCAGGAAGCGGAGCCGCCTTTGAAGATCTGGGACATCTTGAACAAGCAGGTGAGCCGCGAAATTTTAATTACGCTTACCATTTAAATTTTCATATTCGTAAGATGTGAGATATGCGTATTCTATAAGATAAAAATTAATTTGAAGTGCGATAAATATATCGCACACAAAAAGATCTGTCGGGATAAATACTTTTGCAAACGAGATTAACTAGCTGAAGAAAGAAATATTTCGTTTCGCTTTGGATGTAATTAAAAGAGAGAGAGAGAGAGAGAGAGAGAGGAGGGGAGGGGAGAGAGAGAGAGAAGAAAGAAAAGAA